AACTTGCAAAATCTGTGTTTACTTTAAGAGAATCAGAACTCGATGAGCTGACAGATGGACAGCTTGAAATATGGACAGACAGTTGCAGATGGACTCGGCACTTGATTCTCATATGATACTCGTATATAAACTTAATGAACAGAAACCGATATACCCTGTATACCCATTATCAATCGGTTCAGGGTATAAAAACGCACGCAAAACGCGCCTGGCCATGAACGGCCATGACTGCGATCTTATCAGCAGGCTCCTCGACTACAGATCTAACACACAAAAAATATGTGAAGCGTTATGCTCAATGTACAATCACATAAATAACAAAGCTTGGCATTAAATTGCCTGCACCCGATCTGATTAACCCATTTCATGTTCTATTTATGCAAAAATAGAAAAGATCCCAACCCCATCACATAGTTGACTTAATCTGCTATAATTTTTTGTTGGTGCTAAAAGCTAATGTATATTTCGCAGTTTTATGGACTTGTTGTGCAGCTCGAAAGATAATGAATCTATTCTAAATATATAATACACAATATAATTTATTATATATATATATATATATATTATGTTGAGCTTGTGTTTTCGTCGCCTGTTGTTTTTTGTTTATAGTTCAAAGTTTGAGATGGGAATAAAACATTTAATAAAATATGATTCTACCTGCATAAATAAGAGCTCGAGAGTATATAGATATGATTTGATATATGAAATGAAATTAAATCAGAGACATTGTTAGATAATCAAACAATAATATAGTAGAATATTAAAAGATTTCTCACAGGTGTTGGCATGAGTTGCATTGTAAAATATGTTCTAGTTATTTCTTGAACTAATGAAATGATATAAATTTTGTCGTTTTTTGGTTGCATATAGCTAAGGAAATATAGTTATTAACTCTGGTTCGGATATTACTATTATTAACTGAGTTCATGCTCAACAACCTTAAGATAAGAAATAATGATGATTATGGAATCATGGAAAGGTTGTATTTATATACATATATTTATAATATTTTCATAATATATGTTGATACAAGACTCAAAGATCATTTATATACAACAAACTTTTTTTGTCGCTTTTCTCATTTTCCCTGGATAAATCTTTCCTAGATAATTAATTCTATTCCAGAAATTATTTAAATATTACTTAAAGAACTTACTCATATATTTATAAAGACAATAAGAATTGGGTTAATTATGAGCTACTCTCATCTCTGCCCAGTGTTCCAAGTCTTGATATATTGATAAGCCCTGCCTCGACATTCAAGTGCTTCTTTTTTCGTCCCGCTCGCCACTCGCCGTTCGCCCAGTGCCATTTCCGCAGCATGCAACAGTCACATCTCTCGCGCCATTCGGCGTACTCTTTGACACCGAAAAGGAGGTTTTTTTGCGCTTCTCGCTAAATTTGCAAATATTGCCGAAAAGCATATTGATAAGAAACTGGTTGACTAAATGCGGCCCGGGTGCATTGCTCGACCCGATGATAAGCAGCATCAAGTCCTTGATCTTGAGTTGCGTTTCTAGCCGCTTAAAAATGAGAAGCAGCAAATGCTGGGTTGACGATGGGGGAGAGATACGGACGGGCGGCTGAGCATCGCATTCCAATGTTTATGTCAGATGCAAGAAATAGCAACAGCAACAAGGCAGCTGATAAGAGACCCACCTCTAAAAAAATGGAAAACGTTAAACACAAAAAGTTGCTGCGGGCTACTAAGTTGATAAGACCGGTAGCCAGCCTGCCTAATTACACAAGGGGGACGCATTTGCATCTGTTTGGCCGATAAACGCACACTAGGGGCAGCTAGATGTGGGTGTGGCACGCGTTGGCGTCGTGTTGGCCCGAAAGCCGCTTAAGCAAGGGCAGCAACAGCAACAGTAGCGGCAGCAACAGCTGCTCGAGTTGACAGACAGCCAGCCACCAAGTGGCAAACAAATCCTACAAATTACGTAGGCCGCTTAGACTTGACTGCAATGGCCTTCGCCTACACAAATATAGAGAAATCTGGGCACGGGATCAATTCTGATTTCTAAAAAAAAAGAATCGCTAGATCTGCACAAAGAACCAGCTCGGGCCTAAGCCGCTCGTTATGTAAGCGTACAGGAAGTTGAACAAATTGCATCAAGACCTACACACATTACAAAAGGAGGCCAAGGACCGAGGGCCGAGTACCCGATAGCCAACTTCTTTGTTATTGCCAAAAAAAAAGAAAATATATATAGATATTGATTGAAAAAATAATAAACAGTTAAGGAAACAGATGAATTGGCCAGAACGGAAGCAGCAACAGAGGCAGGACTTGATGCACTCGGATGGATGCCTTATCTATAAGGTTTAGCAAAGGAAGCGTCTTTTGTAACTCTACTAAAACTATAACAATCAGAGAGTCTAATGTGGGGAGACGCGCAACAGTCATTAAAAAAATAATAAAAATTCTTATAAAAATAATAATAAAAATTAATAATAAAAATTAGTAAAAGTACGGACAAAATATAAGTGAATCATTCCTAATTTAATTTTAGAACAGACTTGTAATATTTAGTTATGTTTTCACCAAATATATGCCAAATATATCCATGTTCTATGTTATGTATAAATTGCATAAATTATAATTGTTTATTATATATTGTTAGCATTTGCATATTATAATATTATTACATTTTAAATATTATTATATATGTATATACTATGCGAAAATTGAATTCAACTCAATTAAACTATTAATAGTGCTAAGATTTTTCTCGAAAAATTTTACAATGTTTCTTAAATATATTTATATAATATAATAAATATATTTAAGATTTATATTATTATATTTTTCATTTATTATGTTATATTATTTATATTTTATATTAATTGCATATAATATATTTGAGTTATGTGAATTTCATAATAGAATCGAATATACATATGTATATATATATATATACATACATATATATATATACTAATGTATTGTCCTTAAATGTTTTTATACCATTAATATATATTAGAATCGGAGTTCAGTAATCTGGCTACTTTGAAATTAATTTCTCATAATCATGCCCAATAAATAATCAAATTATCTGTATAATCATAAGAAGTTTTATTAATATATGATGATATATACTTTATTTAGGAGACTTCTTATAAAATTGTTATTTCATTTATGATTTCACTCATTTCAAAATATATATATATATATATATATATATTTTACAAAAAGGTAATTCGATTAAGAATACCTACTCTTTGTCTGTGTTCCATTGTATATTTCATATATACCAGAATCTACAAGACTAAGACTTAGTTCTAAAAATATCAACTATGTAATCATAAATGTGGAATGCGAAGAAATATTTTCTACTAGGTTGGGACCCATCTCTACTGCAAAGAAAAATCTATATACAAATAAGATGCTATATTTCCCTAGCAAATCTCGCATTCTCTCTTCGGCTCAACCCAATTTCCCAAACCCAAAAACCATTGTGACCGCAATCGAGCGACACGCGCGACTTCCTACTGGGACTAAGCTTTAATCCAGAGATCAAATTTGAAATCCGCGGAACTAGCGCTTGATCTGTGGCTGCTTATTGCGCCACAAATCTGTAGATCCTGCCAGATCCTGGCGCTAATCGCAGCGTTCGCTAATCGCGCGCCTTAAGTTAACTATAATCCAACATGATCCACTTCACGATCGGCCGCTTGCCTTCGATACCTGGTCGAGAGTTGTTGGCCAACTGTTTTTGCTTAATCCCCGGGCTTTAACTTTTTGCACTCGCCCGGATTATAATAAAAATTTGAATATTGCTACAATTATTTTTTGTTTGCTTTGCAGACGCTTTTACCTCTTTACTATGCAGCTGACTCTCCGGATTAGTCGAGCAGACAGCACTCGAAAAAATAAAAGAAAACACGTTGCGCCTACCTCGAGGCGGATTAAATTTTTTCGCAACAAAAATAAGTCCAGTCTTAAGCACGGCGATTAGAGCTTGATCCTCAAGGGACATGGGCGTAATATTGATGGATTTTCCTTTAAATCCGCCGGCTAATCTCCGGCTTAGCGTGCATCGCGATTTTTTTCGCGACTGCAACTATTTTGTGTTTTGTCTTGTTTTTTTTCGCTAGAAGGCAACTCGGTCTGTTGACTGACTGCGCGAGGATCATAATTATGGAATTCCTAAACAAGAGAGTCGAGCAGCGAGTGCGCTCCGAGCGGGCTACCTGTAAGCGTGGATGTGGGCGTGGGTTACCTCTTTGCCAGGTCTCGAGGCCAGGTAGCCGGCTGCTTGCTAGGTCCGCTGTGCTCAGCCTGGAGGTCAGCGTTTGGCAATTAAGAAGTCAATTTTCAACCAAAAAAAAAAAAAAATAAAAGACAAAAAGACTGTGAAACAATGCAAAAAATGTGCTAAAGCTGAACTAAATCCGGCTTAAGAATGGACCAAGTTTTGCGTCATAAAATGAAAAATCGCCCTAGGCCGCGATCACTACCTTCTCACTCCCTCTCTCCCTAGTTATTCTCGCTCTCTTGGCATTTATCTGATCAAGCAGCCTCGCTCCGGAATTCGCCGCAATAGAGAACATACAGTTAGCTCTTCAGTTGTGCTCTTTCGCTCTCTTTTTAGCTATTGCCCGAATGTCCTTGACTGCACTTAATGTGCTCGCGGTTTGACTTTCTTGCCCCGTTTTTTACGGTACTCATTTGTATATGGTGTTGGTTCCTTCCGTTTTTTAGTTGATCGTTTTTTATGAGCCTACCTGAGTTTATGATTGCGCTTTTTCGTTTTTTTAGCCGAGACACTTTTTTAATGAGACACGAGAGGTTAGTGAACTATATGAAAAACTGAATGACTAAGCCAAGAGTTATGCCGCGACACTTCTCTTCTCTACGAGTGAGTGGACAGCTGCTTAGGCTAACAGTTAGCACAAAGACATTTCTGTTGAATTTCTTAAGTTCCAAGCACTTGGCGCGTATGTTTGTAATTAGAATTAGCCCAGGACCAACCCACCAAAATTCTCTATGAAGGATGTATCTGCGAAGGACGCTGGCCATTTGCCGGATTAGCCGCTTAATCCTTGGTCCGAGCGTGCGAGTCTGTGTGTGTTTTCTGTTCTATTTACGTTGCTTGGCCAAACAATTAGCGCAAAATGTTTTTGGCCAGTTTTAATGAGTTATGAAATCTGTTTCCCAGGAAACGCAAGAGACACCAAAATAATGCTGTCTGATGTTGCGATCGTTCGATCATAAAAAGCAAGCCATGCAGCGCTCTGCCTTGCTCTAGTTACTCCAGCACTAGTTGGGCTGTAGTTATGTGCTCCTATCTAGATATATCCTACATCTACATATAGCCTATCGCTAATCCCACCTGCTTAGCGGTTGCCTAATCTTAATCCCAATAGGAACAGGCTCAAGCTAATCCTGATGCGCTGCTTCCGAGCGAGCAACGTACGCTGACGTCACTCGCTGGCTTAATTAAATCACAGGGATTAGCTTGAGCTGGCGACCGAGTTCGCATCGCGTGCCAAAGATTCATTCAAGGTTCTAACCCCTTGCCAAGGCGCTGGCTGTCGTGTGACTGGCTTGTGCCTTGGCTGCACCCAAGACTCGATCTCTCTCTCCTTCGCTCGCGCTCTGTCGACAATCAATTTGATATCAAACAGTCAGCCTAGCCTGTTGAGCGCCCTGAGCGTTTTTTAATAGTTTTCTTTTTAGGGGATGCTGCGGCCTATTCAAAAGGATCGCAGAGCTTGTTTACACATGTGGCAAGAAGCAACGGCGGCTGCCACGCCTTATGCAGTGGCTTGTATTACAGTAAAAGTAGCTGGAGTTTCAATTCCAGGAAAGACTCGGTTATGCTCAGCTTTGAGCTCAGCTTAGATCAAGTCCTTGCAAGACCTTTGCTGCAACTCTTTGACACATGTTGAGTCCTTTTTAAGCCGCGCCTCATTAGTCGAAAGGGTAGCTTGGTTTTTCGACGCATTAAAAAGCGGATTTGAATAAATGCCAAGTTCCGCTAAAATAATATTCAACTCAAGATTGCGTGGCTTAGCCTTAGCCTCTAACCTATTCATTCAGCCGCATCCTGTGCTAAGCTCAAGGATTAGCGAAGCCTTAATCAGCCAGCTTTGCATGGCAGCTCATTAAGCGCCGTCTCTACAACGAAGAGAGAGAGAGAGAGAGAGAGCGAGGCCAGCTCCTTGCCTGATTTATCAATTGCAATTCGATTTGTCATGTTTATTATCATCAAGAACATTATCAGCACATTATCGATTGCTCGATTGACTATAAATCAGAGGAACCCTTCGCTCGATCGAGTGTTACAAATAGCTAAAAAATTTGTGGGCAACACGCAGAGAAAGAGAGAGAGATCACATATCATCGTTGACTACCCCTAACCCTATTTCTAACCCTACCCAAGCGCTTGGCTCAACTTTCGCTTTCACTCTTTTACTTTTTTATGAGCTCTTCTATTCATGTTGACAGCTCACCCTCGTGTGAAGCACGCCTCATGCCAAATATTTGCTCAACATTTTTTCGTGTTTTCTGACAAATTTTTCGTATATATTTTTTGTTTGAATTTTGGCTTTGTCAGCGGTTAGGGTTATACTTGGTTACATAACTAGATGCTGGCAAGCAGCTGTAATACGAGACTGGACAGAGAGGCCCGCTTTAAAGCCAGTGCAGCTGCATTCAAAGAGTTGCCAATATGCTGGCTGAAAGGGTAGCGCAAGCTGCAAGCCATGGAAAGGCCTATTAAGTTATATGAACACCAATATTAATTTATTATCATAAAATAAATTAACGTAGTGTTTACTAAATTTAATATTTTTAAATTACAATTTTAATATTTAAATGACTAATTTCTAATTATATAAAAAAATATGTCATAAGGTCATAAGGCAATAAAACCTTAAGCTTTAACACATTTAGATAAAAATATAGTTTTTTAATATTATTTATTTTATGTTATTTATTTATATATTCTGCTAGCTCTTGAATCTCTGAGACTCTATTACTCACTTATCTCAGTCAGGCTCAACTATCATTAAAATTTTTAGCTCAAAGTACACTTTCGAGTCGTTTGTTGGCCTGCCTTATAAATATAATTTATTTCGATTTCAATGTCGTGTGCTACGCACTAATTACAGCTAATTTATGTTGGGCTAGGTTAGTGCCTGAATAATATATTAATTGATAGCAGTACGCACTATCTAACGCACTAGTGGCCCATATATATAAATCGCAAACTATTTAGCCTACAGCACGTTCAAGTAGCACTCTTCGAGTACTAATGCTCTTAGCTGTCTCTTGACAACGAGAAACGAGCTGATAATGGGTTGGCTTGGTTTGACATTTTATTATCAGCGGAGACCGGATCTCAGTGAAGACGAAGCAGCAGCTCTAAGTAGCTATGACAATAAATGTTTGTTAAATCGCTTGCTTATCAAACAGACGATTGTTATTCTGACTAATCCAGCCTTGGGAGAAAGCAATCTTATAAAGGGGTCGCAAATAGTTAAAAATTATTTTATTTTTTAATCTCTTTTTCGCTCTCTCCCACTCTCTCTTTCAGCACTTTGAACACTACGGAGTTGTTTTTAATGTTTTCTACGTATTTTAATTTCCTGGCAAATATCATATTTTGTTTGTTCGACTAATCCATCGGAGAATTGTTTTAGTTTTTGCCAGTTTTACGTAACATTATGCAGAGCAAAACATACTAGACGACAGTCTCTCTATTTGAAACAAAGGTCCTTTTTGGGTCATTGTAGTTTTCACTTTCGAAATTGGCAAAATTTCCACGGTAGTTCGAATGCTGACCGAAATTAACATCCCGTCGCGCTCTACGGTCGCGTCCTTGGCCTACCTAACAGCACCTCAATATACATACATTTACATATTCTGTCTGTAGCCATTTACGCATGTTTTCAGCTGAAGTTGTGCATGTCCTTGCCATAAAAATCTACATAAAACCATTTAAAAGTCAATCCGCAAGAGTCAGCAGTCGAAAAAGTGATTTCGAAACTGTTTTTTAGCAACGGGTTTTTGTGCAAGTTTTTTGTGGCTTACCTTATCTTACCTGTCTGCATTTAGATTTTTTTTTTTGATATTGCTGTTTTTTATGATTTTGGTTCTTTAGACGTGTGCCAGCAATTAGTTGGCCATTAAAACGCAGCTCATTGAGCAACTCAACTCAGCTCAACTCAACAGGCTGCTTGGCATACGACGAAAAAAGCTCACTCAGCTTTGCCCCTTCGCTTTACTTTCACTTGGGCTTCGCCCCTTTTTGAGTAGCAATTCGCTTTGTTTACTTCCTGTTTACTCTTACAGCGCACGCTCCCAGCCAACCCCAGATATCGGATCTAACCCCACACTCCTCGCTCCTTGCTGACTTTTGGCGTTCGTTCTCGCTTGCTCGCTCGCTCGCTCGCACGCCGAGGCGCTCTTTTCGCCTTTATCATCCCCCTTTGCGCAGTTGAGCGCATTTTTCTTTGCTTTATGTACAAAGGGGAAGTGTTCCATATGAGTTAATTGCTGCTGTTTGAGTGGAACCGAACTATTTTAAATGTTAACTGTCTGTCAAGTGTTTCCTTTTTTATGAAGGTTCTAAAAACGGAAGTGCTCGCTAGTTTTTTAAGGATAATATAGGTAGTTTTTTTGGTGAGTTGTAAAAAACTCGTGGGTCATAAAACCATAAAACTTTTTACGTCTATTGTAGAAACATTTTTTTTTTATTCTTTTTTAAGTATTTGGCTAAGAGTCAAATCATTGTATTTTGCTGGCCTAGAAAGAAATTAGTTTAGTTTAGTTCTAGCATTATGATTTATTCCGTTCAGCAGCTGAATCATTTGCCTTCTCACTCTTCCATACTAATTTGCATATGTGCAGCATCAGACATTGCCTAGGTAAAACAACAACAGCGCATAGCAAAAACAAAAAAAGTGCTGAGGTATTTTTGAGCAACGCTCAGTTTTTTTACAACCTCGCATACACATACACACACGCACAAGCATTGAGCCTCATAAAGGAGAGCACGTTACCTGCTTTGATCGGCAGCGCGTTTCGGGTTTCGTTTTTCGTTTCGTTTCGTTTCGTTTTTGTGTCGTGCTTCCTCCCTTTGGCTGGCTGACAATGTGCGTGTGCGAGCGAGCGAGTGAGTTGCTGAGTGAGTGAACGATTGAGTGCGTGCCTGCGTGTTTATGTGTGTGTGTGTCGTGCAGAGAGGGTGAGCGTGCGAGCGTACTTATAGTTAGCGCACGCGGCGAATTCGTATCATTCGTGATTTGGCTCTGACAGTGAGAGGAGCACAGTTTCTGATGCCAAACAAATACACATACACACACAAACACAATCGTAAAACACACTCACGAAGCAAATTTGTTGCTTCTAAAGGATTTCCACAGCGCAAAGGATACACTCTCTCAATATAAAAACGTGTTGCAGTCGTTCGCTTCATATCATTTCTCAGCGACAACTCGTCACAGTCACAACTCAAGAAACTTAGTTAAAAAATAACAAAAATATAAAAATTGAATTTGTTGTGTCTTAACGATAAAGTAAAAGAAAAGGAAACGCGAGAACCAACAACAACAACAAACCAAATACCTCAACAAAATAGCAAAAGAAACGTTAAAGTTTATAATTAAAATACGAATAACAAATTTATAATTGCAACTACCTCATTTTTGTATAACGTGAACTTTTGTAAACTGTGCAAAAACTACCTCAAAGTACAAACACACACACCACATCCATACCCTCACCCACACACACAAAGTGCGCGAAATTATTAAAAGTTTTCGAAAAGTTTAAAACAAACAAACAACTCAAATGAAATTAAGTGTTCAGAACTGAAACCAAAAACAAACTAATTGTAGTGAAATTGTAAGCAAGCCGCTTGCAATTTAATTTGCTCAATCGAAGCAAGGACACCAACAAATAAACAAACACACACACAACACACAGTTATGGCCATATCAATGCTGCAGGACGCGCAAACACGAAGTAAGTAATATAAAAATATTTTAATAAAATATATAAATATATAGAAAAGAGAAACAGCTTCAGCACAAATTTTAAAATTTGTGGAAATGGTTAAGGTTTTCATTTTGCACTTAAATCAACCAAATTAAAAATATTCAATTTAGGAACATTTGTATTATAAATTTTTATTATAAAGTCCAATTTACAACAATTTTTGATTAGACAAATACAAGAGAAAAACAGAAAAGGAATGCGAAATATAAATTTCTTTCAATTTTAAAAACGTTATTTTAGATATAGACTGACACAAAAATAGAAGAAAATGTTAAGAAAAAGTCTAATTTTGTAGTTTATCTAAGACTCGATTTTAAAATCAATTTAAGTCTTAAGCTCTAACTGAATAGTTTTTATGCTTCACTTCCTTCAAACGCATTAAAGGTCGCATTAAAGCGCAGCGATTCACATATACACAAACACATGCTTGAGCACGCACAGCAATAACGACGTCTCAATGTGCTTGAGTTAACATTAGGCGCCATTTTGGCAAATGCTCAACGCACACACACAAACAGGCCCATACACTCACACATGCACAGCAATTAAGTTTTGTTTACAAGTTTTTTTCTTCGCCGGCATTTAACTCGTTTCTTCACGCCCACCAAAACAAATGCTAAAGAGAGAGGGAGCGAGAGAGAAGGGAGGGAGGGAGATAAAGAGAGTGTTCGTGTGAGCGCCTAAGAGCGTGTACACAGACAAAAGCTCGCACATATGTTACATATGCGGCGCTCTTTAAGAGAGTGAGAGCGTTCTCTTTGGCCACCCACACTATATGCCATATTCACACGTGCTGCTGCTTAGAACCCCAAAATAAAGAATAGGAAAAAAAACAAGTTAAAAGTTGTGTTTGACGCCGCGGGCAGCGTTGACCAAACTGTTTCTGACAGCTCAGCGGGCGAAAAAAAAGTAGAAAATAGAAAACATAATATAAATAGAATATTGGGAAATCAAGGAAATGTTTGCTCCAGTTTATACTAGGATTTTTGAATAGAGAATTGAAGTAGAATTTGTGATTTTAGAAAATTCACTCTCTAATTGGTTTAGTTTATTATATTGTTTTATTTTTTAATCTTGCTAACTTTAGTTCTTTCCTTCTTTATTTTTTAGGCTTAGCCGCTGCCTTGGCTGGCATCAAACGTGAGGACATGGTTGTAGATCGCTCCATGTCGCTGTCACCACCCATGTCTGCAAATACCTCGGCCAGCAGCCCCGTGGCCTCCACCAATTCGCACTCGCTCTACCCTGCGATGGGCCTACAGCAGGCTGCAGCCGCTTCTGCCTTTGGCATGCTGTCGCCCACACAGCTGCTGGCTGCCAACAGGCAGGCGGCTGCCTTTATGGCACAGTTGCCCATGAGCACATTGGCCAACACACTCTTTCCACACAATCCCGCAGCGCTCTTTGGCGCTTGGGCGGCCCAGCATCAGCAACAGCAGCAGCATCAGCAGCAGCATCAGCACCAGCAGCAGCAGTTGCAGCTGCCTCTAGCTGGCACTCATCTGCATTCGCCGCCTGCTAGTCCCCATTCTCCGTTAGCCGGCAGTGGAAAGCATCCGCTTAGCTCGCCCAATAGCACGCCACAGCATCATTTGGGCATGGGACTCGGCGAGCCCGTTAAGAAGGCGCGCAAGCTGTCGGTCAAAAAGGAATTCCAAACGGAGATCAGCATGAGCGTTAGTGATTTGTATCATACACCTGGTGGTCCCATTTCGCCGCCTTCCAGCGGCAGTTCGCCCAACTCCTCGGCACATGAGGCAACTGGGGCAGCAGCAGCAGCAGCGTCAGGGGCAGCTGCGCCTGCCAAGGACCCGTCACGCGATAAGAGTTTCACGTGCAAGATTTGCTCGCGCAGCTTTGGCTACAAGCATGTCCTGCAGAACCATGAGCGCACGCACACAGGCGAGAAGCCTTTCGAGTGTCCCGAATGCCATAAGCGCTTCACCCGTGACCATCATCTGAAGACGCATATGCGTCTGCATACAGGGGAGAAGCCCTACCACTGCTCCCACTGCGATCGCCAATTCGTGCAGGTGGCCAATCTGCGGCGGCATCTGCGCGTCCACACAGGTGAGCGGCCCTACACCTGCGAGATATGCGAGGGTAAGTTCAGCGATTCGAATCAGCTGAAGTCGCATATGCTGGTCCACAATGGCGAGAAGCCGTTCGAGTGCGAACGCTGCCACATGAAGTTCCGCAGACGCCATCATCTGATGAATCACAAGTGCGGCATCCAATCGCCACCCACGCCCGCTCTCTCGCCGGCCATGAGCGGCGATTATCCCATTGCTACGGCAGCAGCAGCTGTTGCAGCAGCAGCTGCCTTGGAGTGCTCAACCAACAAGTTTGCGGCTATGTGCGCCAGCTATGGCGGCTCGGAGGAGTCTGTGGATTTGGCCAAGAGCAGCTTGGATGAGGAGGCACCGCTAGATCTGAGCGAGGATGGCGCCAGCTCTGTTGATGGCCATTGCAGCGGCAGCAATGCACGCCGCAAGGCGCAAGACATACGCCGCGTCTTTCGGCTGCCACCGCCACAGATCGTGCACGTTGCCAGCGATATGCCCGAGCAGACGGAGCCCGAGGATCTGAGCATGCACTCGCCACGCTCAGCGGAGTCGCACGAGCACCACAGCGAAGACATCGATCTCGATGAGCTGGACGATGCGGCTGCGCTCTATCTGCGACAGCAGCAGCTGCAGCAGCACTAAGCAAAAGTGAAAAACAGGAAAAATTTTGTATATAAAAATCGAGGAGTTCAGCGTGTTCATCAGATGAGGCTAGCTGAAGAGTTAATGGAACAGGAATTTATGTCAAGTACAACTAGCTTGAAAAACTAAAAACTAAAAACAAAAAACAAACCCAAAACACAAACAAAGATTTAATTAATTTTTAGTCTTTAGCAAAGAAAACAAAAATCGATTGCACATAAATCAAAAAGCTCCAAAAAATTGTACAAAACAAACTCGAATTAAGTCTAATTTAGGCGCTAAGGAAAACGCTCTCCCAAAAAAAAAAACTAAGACGAAACGTAACCCAGCTAATGTTGTGCCATTCTCAAAGTCTAGTTTCTAGTTCTCTTTTAGTTGATATGTAGCTTGTAAACCTTTGTTGTCCAGTAATTGTATATAGTCTGCCAATTGTAAATTATACAGCGCTCTATCCCAAAAAGAAAGAAAAAGCAAAAAACAAAACAAAACAAATCCAATCTTAATCAAAACATAATTTTAATATATTTTAGTTATTGTTTAGTCTAATTTGTACGCATCTTTTGCTTATTCTCAAAGAAAACGCCAATCAAAATTAACTTTAAGTTATTAAACAAAAAAACACGAAACAAAATCATAAACATAATTATTAATAAATTCTTTTATGCTTAATGCCAATTGTTTTGTTTGCCATAAATTGTAAATTTAATTATTTTATTTTTAATGCATGAATCTCGTTTTATTATCGCATATATATTTTATATATATAAACATTATCGATTCTGATTCTATTTTTAGTCACTTTTTTAGTTTGCTATTTAAATTGTATTTAATGAAGCCCCGCCCATTGCTTGCCCATGCTGTGAGGGGCAAAAAGCTATGAAAATAAAATTATTGAAAAATATCCAAGAAACTAAATTTTTGTTTTTATTTATTTTATTTATTTTTGTTTGTCAAACTATATTTACTTTTTGCAGACAATATTTGACATTTATTTATTGAAATAAATTGCAAATATTGCAAATTTATACAAACACTCTATAAATATATTTATGCTTTCATTACATTTTTCTTTAATTATTCAGAAAAAATAAAAAACAAATTTCGGTTTTATGTTTTTTTTTAATCTCTTTTACTTTGCCAAGATAAGCATATTTACTTTCCCCTTTTTAAACTATTATCGAATACCTTTTAGGCATTTGGAATTTGTTTTCTAAATATTATTTTTTATTGAAACTTCAAATAAAAAATTTTTGTTTTCAAAAAGCTTATTACACATCGAAAATACTTTATAAGAAATTTTAAGAGGTTTTGTTTTAACCTATTTGTCTTCTTTTTTTAATTTATCTGTAACATATTTAAAATTTTTTAAAATAATCTATACACCTGCCGCATCCACTCACTTCCACTAATATTATATATAAATAACATAGCTCAAAAATAAGAAAATATATAGTCTAAAGCTAGATCGTTAAGTCGTGAACCAAGTAAACAGGAAGAACTACTATAACCGAATACCTCCAATACCTCTATGTAAAAAACGATTTGTTGTGATTGTCATTAAGCAACACACACAAACACACACACACACATACATATACATAACGATATATATATTAATTACAATAACAACAATTTGGGCAATCGTACAATTCAACTGAATTTATATACAACAAACAAAATAACGAAGCTAGATCAGCCGATACAAAAGTTATATATAACTATATATATGGGAATTTTTATGCATATTTTTTATGAGCTAAGAATAACGAACGATTTTCCAAGCATTTAGAACTCATATTAATCTAGACCTAAGTGTATATATAACAATATATATAGCTGTACATACATATACATATATATATATCTATATATCTATATGTGTATATATATATGTACTCGAAACAACTTACACTACAGAATAATTTTAGTGCAATCTTTCGTTTCGATATAATTTTAATATTTAAAACGAAAACAAAATCAAATGCAACAAAATATTGTGTAATTTTCTTTGTTCATTCAAGTGTATGGTATACAAGTTCCTCAAGATTAATAAAAAAAAAACAAAAATGAAATAAAATAGTAAACGCATCTCAAGATCTACAGAACTTTGTACTTGAGAAACTGCGCATTGTACACACACACCTCACATGTTTCATACGTATTATGTATATTTAAAATATGACAAATTATACATACATATATATCCTAGCTGTATAAATATATCTATACATATATACTCTATATAATACACGTAAAGTCAATTTAAACTGTATATAATATTTGTATCCAATATTCTGGTCAATATATGTGCAATATATTTAGTCCAATATTCAGCACCTAAAAACATAATCTAAAAAAAAATATATATAAAAAGAAACAAAAAAGAACCTAGAGAAATTCATAATTAAATTATTAACTAATATAACTTATATAAACATTCTATATATGATTACAAACTATCTAAGGCATGCGCTGCTCGGCACATTTGATTTTCTAGTTTATTGTTGTTGTCTTTTCAAGCATTTTAAATATTACAAAAACAAGAACAAAAAGAAACAAACAAAAAAAAAAAACAATTACTTAAAAACAAATATTCATTAATTTTTTAAGAAAACCTCAATGTACGAGTATTTATTATGTTTATGGCGAATTGTGTGAATACAAAAGCGAAATATATATATTACAATATTGTGTTAAAGCCGCAACGATTTTTAATCAATAAATGTAGGCACCAGCACGAACACCCTCAACAAAATTAGCCCCAACCCCCAGTTGCTACCCCGTCCCTTGCCCGGCGACATTATATAAATTTTTAATTTATGCAAACGAAGCCCTTTCGCATTATTTTACATTTGCCACGAGACGCCCCACTAATGCTGTCGCCGCAATGCTGCCACATGCCACCCAAGCAATCCCCAACCCCCTTTTGGTCCAACCCCAACTTCACATTTTGAATTTTTGCGCCTGAAAAAAAGAATCTCTCCCTATATATATAAATATATATATATATGTATATATAAAATGAAAACCGCGCCGCGCGAGCAGCCAGAAAATGTCACAGTGTTTTCGCATTTAATCTTCACAACAAAAACAACAACAGCAATGGCAGCGGCAGCGGTAGCTACCCCCAGCAGCCCCCAACCACGCCTGCCCACCCACGCGCCGCCTCCTTTCATTGTGCCCCTTTTTAACGGCAGCAGCCGAAAAAGGCTTCGTTCTATGTACAAAATGGCAGCATGTATTACATAAAACTCGTCTTATGTGCTTACACATAGCACAAGGCTTCGACGTCGACGTCGTCGTCATCGTCATCGTCATCGTCGGCATTCTGCGCCAGTTCCTTCCACTCCTTTAGATTCGAGGGGTTGTTAGGCCCGGGGATGGGGGATGCGGGAAAGGTCCTATGCTGCTTATTAGCATTTCAGCCTTTCTTCGCTGCCTTTCGAGTAAATGATTTAGACTTGGGTACGAAAGAATTTTTGCCAAATGAGTTTACGAGTGTTTGGCTGTAAGGATTTCAATGCCCTGTAAAGGCAATATTGGTGGGGTATATGAAGACAAACCAAAAATTCAATGGATATATGAATAATATATGCTAAGAAATTAAGGTATATATATGTCTATATGGTATCTTAAGTCGTATATATTCACTTCACAGTCTTAAAAAATAATCCATTTTGACAAAATATATGTATGTAAATATATATAAATATAGTGATATAACAGGGTATCATTTATTCGTATATACCTAAGCACCTATAACACGAAGTTCCCAGAATTGAAACCATATTAATGACATTTTTAAGATATGGCTTATCTAAAGGAATGTTAAAAAGCATTTTAAGCTTGCTGGCCTCACATGTCCATATTGGGTATTTAAGTTGAAGATTTATATATCCTATCGATAAAGACTTAGCTTAAATACTAAAGAAGTGGGACTATATACTATACAAACTATATATATAATATATATAATAAGATAATCATAGGATATCTTAGTTGCCACAATGTTAGCTCTCTTGCAACTTTTACTTTGCCCACAGCATGGGTAGCCAACAAAGGGTAGCTGCTAGTCGGGCCTGCTAGGTTGTTATTGCCACAGCGCCACAAGTACGAAAAGGCAGTTGAAATAAATTTTAAAGGCTTCTTCTTTTTTACAGCCAACCGCCGAGCAGCGGCTCATTATTCAAATTGAAAAATTATGATTTGCGCCCAGGCAGGACTCGAAGTCCGAAGTTCGCGTCCAGCGAAGCAAGCGATTCTAATAAGCTGCCTCAAGTGCAATAGACTAAAGATGGGGAGAATGCTGGGTGGGGGTAAGGATGGGGCTGGAGGGTGGCAGTGGGACAGCTGATGCCGCATTGGCTGCCGCTTTCATTATCCTGCGGCCATTCGCCTCAATTAAATGGGTGAAATTATGAGCCTTATTAATATGGCAGTCCTGCGTGCTGCGTGCAGCGTTTCAGCTTGGTTCGGTTGAGTTTTGTTGGTAGATATACATTTTTGGACAGCTTTACTGAGCTTAGTTGATTTTGAATAATTGCGGACGTTTGTAAAAACTTTTTAAGTGGCAAAATATTAAACAAAAAAAGTTGCCCTGACTAAGTTGAAAAGAAGCTGAAAATTATTTTGAAAAATTTAAAATTGGGTTAACTTAGGCATTGTAATACTTCTATGTATATATTATTTCCTCTTTGCCAAGTAAAACTAAAAACATCCTTAGCTATTCAATACCATTATTTAACCTACTAATAGAGTTCAATCATTATGAACTATGTAGCTAAAAATTGTGCAAGCACAAAGGATTCAAATACACACACATATGACAAAGAAAAACTGCAACAGGATCAATGCAGAGCGAAACAAAGAGTTAACAAAGAAAGGGAAAGAAGAAGAAGAGTTGTCAATTGTCGCATGAATGAACACAAACTGAAGCCAATTGCTGTGGCTCTGCCTGTGTGATCCTTAGCCAGGTCCTGCGGCGTGCTAAGCTCCCCTCGTGCGCAAAGGCATGCAAATTTTTGGCAAATACTCAAACGCACACACACACACATACACACGCAATTAGCAGTGGGTAGTTCTTGAGCTGTAAGCGATGCCTGGCTCTCAATTACCAAAGAAAGGCATTGCGAATTTCTTGGCCACACATCAGGACAGACGGGTAGAGAAAGTGT